TGAATGTTTCACCGAAAGTTCTGAGACCTTTTCGTCGGAAGTTTAATGAACATCTCGTTCAAATTGCTGAAATTGCCTTCGAAAGATCTTTAAACTTCTTGACAGATATACTCTGATTTTCTCGTCGGAACTTCAGGGAATTTTAATTAAGGTATGTTGACTTCAGTGGAAGTTCAGTGAAATTTCGTCAAATGTTCTATGAACTTTTTATTGGAAGTTCTCTGAACCTCTCTTAGGATATTCAACGAAGTACTTGTAGTAGATAGAGTTAGTGTTGAATAAATAATGAGTAGAATCGAGTGAGCGTGAAGCGTGATAGCATAGAGGTAACTCTAAGACCAGAAGGTCCCGAAGAAACGTGCTCAACTTTTTGGCTCAGCTCTGGTACTCTCTTCGGTCCCAAGCTAATCGATTCACCCCTCGAAACATAGGAAAAACCAATAACCCCTCATTTTATCTGCCAAACTTTCATAGAGAATCAAAACAAACATAGTGTAGTACTAGAATTTCGACTAGAATGGAGTACGTTAATCGTTTGTTTGGGACCAATAGGCTAGGCAAGTAGTGAGCCAATTTAAAATCGTTAGTTTCGAATTGATTGTTGGTGATAGTCCGTATGTAAACGGAATCTCATTGGTTAGAGAATTTTGATAGGTTAGCAGGTATAATTATGAGGTACCTAAGCTCGTTGAAGACATTCTTGTGACGAATTTTGGTAGAAAAGCAGCAGTAGTAGCAGCAGGAACTGCGCACAGCAGTCAAGGAGAGCAGCCGAGATCATCGCGGATTCGTGTAGCCGGGACCGAGGCTGGAAACTTCGGTCCGATCACGAAAATGGCGCAGCCGGTAGCAGCATTTAGTGTAAAAGTGAGTTTAGTGAAATGGAAAAAAAAATTCACTGAGGAAATTTTCGGAGCATTATTCCATGACCTGATGGATGGTAAATAAGAATTACCACGACCTGATGGATGATAAATAAGAATTACCATAACCTGATAGATGGTAAATAAGAATTACCATGACCTGATTGATGGTAAATAAGAATTACCATGACCTGATAGTTGGTAAATAAGAATTACCATGACCTGGTAGATGGTAAATAAGAATTACCATGACCTGATGGATGATAAATAAGAATTACTATGACCTGATGGATGGTAAATAAGAATTACCACGACCTGATGGATGATAAATAAGAATTACCATGACCTGATAATAAAATAAGAACATAATACAGTACTGTGAACATTTTGGTTATCTGAACCTCTCGTCTGAAGTTCACTGAGCTTCTCATCAAAAATTCCGAAAAATTTAGCCTTCATTTAACAAACGTTGGAAATGCTAAAAGAACACTAAATTGAGTGTTGGTGTCAAGTATCAGTTGACACTTAATAGCTCAGAATAAGATGAAGAAAATGTGGAAAATTTTGTAGCTAACTGTAATTTAGGGTGGCTACTAGATTTAAGCAACTAAATTCTCGGTTTTCATACAAGCAGCTAAATATGGTAAAAAAAAGGAATACCGGCATAAGCAGTTTCAGCAATTGAGCTGCAATATAAATTTCAAATAGTTCTAAAACTCTTAAGACTTAAAGAATGCATTCCAAGGGAATTCGGCGGAGAATTCAAGTGAACCCTACGGCAAACTTAATGATGATATGGCTATAGTTTTGGCACTACCCCTACTGATCACCAACGGTTGATAATTAAGCAATCAAAGAGATTTCTGAGGAGAACTTCAAAAGGAAATATCGATAATAGTCCCAAAAGCATCTAATGCTTTAAAGAGCTCACAAACATTCTAATTTCAAACTGTTTTGACGATAGTTCAAAGGAATTCTTAAGAAAATTCATAAGCGTTTTGAGGGAACTTAAATTAATTTGCGGAAGAGTTCCAGAGAGGAGAATTAACAAAAAAATTTGAGCATATATCCGAAGAAATTCGGAGAAGCGTTTCAAGAGATTCTAAAGAAATTTTAAATGCTTTCCAACGAGAATTAAAAAAAAAAGCTCTAAGAGATTCTTTTAACGAGAAAAAAAAACCCATGGCATTCCGAGGTGAAATCCAGAGAAAATTTGGGAAAATACTTTGTGAAATCTGAATGACATACCAAGAGAAAAATATGCCAGAGAAATTTTTAAGAAAATTGTGAAAATAAATATGTGTAAATGTTCACGAGAATTATGAAGAATACAAATACTTAAATTTAGAGTGAGTTTCAAGAGTTTTCTGGAAGTAACTTCTAAAGCGTTATATGATATTAAGAGCAGCAACCGTGAAGAAATTTAAGGATGATCCTAAGAAAATCCTTCAGAGATTTTCAAATATATCTTGAGATAAGTTCCAAAGAACTAATTTAGTTAATTCGGACCATTCAAACATTTCAAGATCCCGTACAGAAAATTTCAAGACCCAGGATACGATAAATATCAAGATCCTGAGACTTCGATTGAAAACAAATTCCATGATCCCGGTCTAAGAAAATTTATTCAATATTATGGGGCTAGAAATGCCTGAAAAGTGTAACAGTGAGCTATAACGAAACGATAGTCTGAAAAGTGTACAGACCCAAACGCAATGTGGGTGGAAGCTGAATGGAAACGGCAAGTTTGACAGTTGTCACAAATGACATCTAACCGAAGTCGATTTGGTTCTAACTAGTTTTCAATCCGACAAGTAGGCTTCCTCAGATCGGGCTTTTCCGCTACCGCTGCCGTTCCGCTTTCGCTGTCATTGCACTTTGGCCTTAATTGTGAGGTGTGTGATATCGGTGATATCTCAAACTTGTAAAAATCGCCTAATCGCCGGATGTAAATTCAATATCCTAGACGTGCAGAAATTGTCTTGATTCTGTGACAACATTTTCAAGGTTCTAAAATTATCAAAAATATTCAAAATGAGATTGCAAAGTTGACAAAAAATCACATGTCTGAGGCCTTGGATTTGTTTGGGATTCTCACTGGAATCATATATGCATGTATTTACAATCCCAACTATCTTGCAGTGGCATAATGGATAAAATCCCTACACTCAAGTTATATGACGGCGAGAAGCTTGAATCCGGGAGTTAGAAGATGACAGCTCTACCGCGGGTCCAACAGCCCATTTCAAGATCGCAATTATTCCGAAGCTATTTTCACAAAGCAAATAGCCAATCTATCGATCAATGCTAATAAACCCCTGATAATGTATTGAAACTTTCAATCAAGCAGAAGTGCAGTTCTTGATTGACGCGTATTGAATGAGCATCATAATTGATTTTATTTATATAACTGAGCTGTGCGTCTGCGCCGGCTGGAACAAGGTGCTGTCTTCCGGAACTCCACTATTCAACAGCAACTGAAAGGAGTGAGACTCCATTTGACCAACGTCACGCAATTCACTTATAATTTCACTACACAATTTTTACAATTACGCTTCACATTAAATTATTTCAATTTAAATTGATTTTACATGAAAAGAAATACGCAGCAAAACAAAAATACGTCAATTCAGCAGCGCGGCCTACTTCGATCGTCCTAGGATTCTCACTGGAATCATTTAGGAAAAATCTAGACTAACATTTGAAAAGGGCGTAATTCCAAAATGACCATATCGAGAAAATCGCTTCTGAATTTTGTTGACCTAAAAATTAATCCTATTTCACGACTTTCCATTTTCTGGTTGATTTTATAAGCTTGACATATAGTTAATAGTGTAATCTATCATCATGCATCACTAAAAACTCAAAAAAAGTTTTCTTTGTCGTGAAAATGAGAAGAAAACATCATACGCCCTGATAATTTCATACATGTTGTTACCCCCCAGATCTTCCACCCTTTGAACTGCCAACACTGGTGATACGCCGTGGAAGTACACCCTCGGGATTTTTTGTTTGTTGTTCCGCCTTGGTTCTTCGTTCGCAAATTTTGTGAGAGTGGAATTACGCCCGGAGATGTTTTGGTCTTCTTTTTGTTCGTTGTTTACACGTGAACTATCAATCGGATGCATTTCAAATGAATCGGGCGTGACTAGATACTAGAGAATCAAAACATTTGGCATATTAAAACGATATAATTCGTAGTTCTGGTGCAAGGCGTAACAACCAGATTCATCATAGAGTTGAAAGTTGGAAATACGCCATGTAAGAAGAAACGTTTTTGATGATTTGAAGTGATATTTTCTTCTACTTTTTCGTGTTTATCGAGTAGTTTGTGAACTATTCTCTCTATATGTGGCAAAATATGGTTTGTTTACATTTTGGCTCTTACGCCCCTTTCAAATGTTAGTCTAGAAATAATCACGATCTTGGACTTGTCAAAATTTTGAAACTCTGGAACATTGCTGATGTTTTGATATATCTGATTTTTGATCTTCCGAACTGAGGAAGGGATAAGAATTTCAAGCTTGATTTTTTTTTTAAAACTTCATTTAAGCAAACTTGAAAAAGTGTCCAAGGTTCAAAAATAAATATTCAAGATATCGAACTTAGAAATTGTAGTTCCGAAATTTCACGGGTTCCAATCGAATTCCCGGTTTCCTTGCTTCAGTGGCTATCCTGGAAATTGACCAAAAATGGCCCTCACTACAATAAAAAAATGTTTGTCTAAGAACACACAATGCACAACAAATCATTGCAAATGAAGATGAAGACCTTGTCATTTCTTGGAAAATTTAGTACTCTCCAGAATTTTGGCATACCTTTCAAGGGTTTCTCTTAAGGGACTTTCTTCAAAACAGTGTCCAGATATCGCAGCAGCTTTTCACGAACTCGATTCTGGAGCCTTACTCTTGGCCCCTCCATGATTAGGCGAAAGTTAACATTACTGAACCTGAGTTTGAGCAAACGTTTTGTCCGATACCGTATTACCGTCACTGCAGACTACAACTTGATGGCTGGGTATTCACATGGAGTACCGTAGGCTCACACCTTTCGTATACAAATTAGACTGAGCTTGCGATACGCTACACAAATACCCTCCATCGCCATAAATAGCATTTTAACAGAATAGAGAACAGCTTTTAAATAGACTAAGAACATAAAGTTTTTCAGTTTATATAATAGGTAGGTAGTAATAAAAACACGTATCAATTAGATGCTAAAACTTACAGACAACCACGCAGTTTATCGATTGCAACTACCCGTCCCCGTCGTCGATGAGTGCCCATGTTGCTGGGGAAACAGACTGAAGTGAGACGAGTGTGCCTGCGAGGACGCTGCCGCCGGTGGCGTGGGCGTTGAAACCCGCGGCCTTTCGATCGTCATCGTTTGCTGCGGAATTTGACTGTCGCTTTGCACTCCCATGTTCGAGTAGATCTCCTTCATCAGGAAAAGCATCGTGTCTTCCGATTCCCTGAAAAAAAATAAAGTTTTAATCTGTTTTGTAAATCTCGATTGGGACACGAAGACCGTACCAATAACAGACATGACTAGTTAGCGCGAATAGATACTCGTTGAAGAATTCCAGCGGAGCTTCCTGCAGTACGTAATCGATACGGCGCGATTGGTTCAGCTGACCCAGGGGGAGATCCGTTTCACCGGTGTCCAAATCCGAGGCAGACGCCGACGAAGCGGAAGCGGTTTCGAACTTGAGCTGATCTTCCAGCACCTTGTCCACTTCGCATTCGATCGCCTTGCGGTCCGGTCGGTGCAACGACGTGATCGAATAGACGGCATCGAGCGTGTTTCGGAATGTGTCCATCACTTTCTGCTTGAGGTCGGTTCCGACGCGATACATCGTTTCCTTCAGCTCCAGATGCATCCGCTTGCGGCCCTTGTGGTGGGGGATCAGCACTGGACGAAGCGGACTCAGCTCCGGATTGACGAGGGCTTCGATCCGATAGGCTACCGGGTCGTACGGGTGGAAAATGTTGAAGAATCCGTCGCAGGTCGGCAGCTTGAAGTCCTGACCGAGGGCGTCTATTCCGCGCACGGTCACAAACATGCCGATCGGGGAACCGAGGGCAAAGAACTTCTTCGGATTGAACATGAGCTGCGGGTAGGTTATGTAGGGCTGACCGGTTCCGGCCGGACCCACTTCGTAGTTGATCTGCTGCTGGCAGCACTTGTGCGCTATGGGACGCGGGCTCGGATGCGCACTGAGGAAGGGTGACCGATCCGGGTTCTCCTGGTGAAAGAGGGGAGAAAGTGGACGGTTAGTTGAATGATTTTGCTTGGAGAATATGTTGGACGGTAAGAATTGGCGAAATTTTACAGAAGTTAATTAACCTGTATTGAATTACCTTGAACTTACCAAAAAGTCTAGAAGTTCCTGGAACATCACTGAAATTATTGGACCCACTCTTAGATCTTCGGAAATCACTAAAGACCTACTTCTCTGAGATACTTGGAACTTCTTTAAAGTCTTAACAACTTTACTCAAGTTCTCTCTTCTCTGAAGTTCTCTGGAGATCTCTGGAGTTCTCTGAACTTCTTAAAAGATCTTGTAGTTTTAAAGATAAAGATTCTTCATACAACTGAACTTCCCTGAAGTTCCCAAAATATTCCAAAAGTTTTCGAAACTTTTCTAACGTTCTCGCAGTTTATTCAAGTGACTTCCGTGAAATTCCCGGCATTTCCTTTTATTACTCAGAAAGTTTTTAAAGTTTCTACAATGTTTGTGAAGATAATGGGACTATCTTGAATATCTTTTATCTTTTCTGAAGTTCACGGAACTTTCCTGATGTTCACGCAATCAATTGCCCTGAAATTGATGGAACTGCCCAAAAGAACCTTAAACTTTCCTGGAGATCTCTGGTCTTCCGTGAATATTTTGGATCTTCTGTGAAGTTCCCAAACATTTTCTTAAGCACACTAAACTTCCCTGAAGTTAAATGGACAATCCTTGAATGATCGGAACTTCTTCGCTATTTTCCTGAAATCATCTAACTACCCTGAAGTTTTCAGAACTAACTTTCTAACTTTCCTGAAGTTAATGGAACTGCACTCGAGCTTGTTGGTCTTCACTGAAGTGAATTTTCCGGTAATCGTTAGGACATTCCTGAAGCTATCGGATTATCTTTAAAATTTTTGGAACTTCAATTAAATTCTCAGAAATTATTAAAGGTTCCAGTTTTTTTTCAGGAAAGCAATTCAGTTAAACGACCCAACACCCCGTTTATTTGAAGATGGCACTACAACAAAATCCGGAGAAACCCGTGCTTTACTACACGAAAGAAAATCCCGTGGATTTGTTTAAAAAAATATGAATCCAAGATCTGAATATAAGTGAAAATCAAAGTGAAATTTTTTTGAGGAATTTTCGGAGAATTCATAGGAAGGGGTCGACAAAATTCGGCTCCATTGTTAATTGTTTTACAAAGGAAATTTTTAAAAATTACGAAAAATTTTGAGCTATTCTTACTCAGTGGTCATCCTGATCAAGAAATGTACTCTCCCAAAAACAAAAACTTACCGAATTCTCCGTCTCCATGGGCGTCCCCTTCTGGTGGCACAGCAAATCGAACAGAATCAACGATCCCAGCGAGTGTCCGGCCAGCGAAACGCCACCCGTGAACGACGGATTCCGCTCCAGGAACAACGAATACAGCCGGTTCAGCGAATTGCCCACTGCATCGATGATGTTCTGGCAGAACATGGGACTCGTGTAGAACAGCACATCCAGCACGGTATCGTTGGTAAAGTTGCGCAGCTTGGGGATCGATTCCAGCGTGATGGCCTTCAGCTTCTTGTCGATTCCGGACTCCTCCGAGTGGAGATCATTGTGCCACGAAATTGGCAGCACTTCTACCCGTCCGATGTCACCCCGATCGAACGACGACCGGTAGTGACTTTGAACTAGCTGTGCGGAAATACTTCTGAACTCATCGACCACTTCTTCGACGGGTCGGAATCGGAGATCACACGCCTCACCGATCCCGTGCACCATGAACAACAGGTGATCGACTCGTTCCGGTTCACCGTCTTCGATGTTGAACTCGTCGACGCCTCGCTTGACAACTCGCGGTCGGTTGGTGGTTGGAGGGACCGGTGAGCTGCCTCCCCACGAATCCGGGTTTTGTGTCTGCAGGAAGTGTACGATCACCGAGGGTCCGTGGAAAACGACGGTCTCGCCATTTGGAATGACAATCCGCCGGTGCCATTCTCCCGAAGTGGCTGCTTCCTTGTATTCCCGTTCCAACAGTTCCGCCACTTCCTCGTCGTACGGAACGTACCTGGAGTCTACATTTTTATAGAACCACGAACACCTGCGTACTTCCTGGGAGGCTCCTTTCCAATACACTGGGGACATCTTGCGCTCCTTGACCAGCACGTCGTGACGACCACCGTCAACATGTACGATCAATGAACTGGCATCGGATTCGGCTTCAGAATCATCTTCCTGCATCAGTGGTAGAGCGTTCTCCAGCGCCAACGAATCGCTCATCGTGAACGGTGTCCAGACGACTTTGGATTCGATTTCCCGCTTGAAGAACCAGTGCCGGTAGACCGGCCGGTAGGCGATGTTTGTATTCGATGCTTCCGTAATCGAAGCCATCGAACTGTCGACGATGGCGGAGTTGGCACCGGTAGCGGTAGCCGCCGCCGTTGCCGTCATTCCTGCCATACAACTACTGTTGGCGTCGATCAATACGTCCTTGGAATACGTGTCGTCCTCGATGGCGGACTGTGGGGGAGGAACAAGAACAGAATTAGCTGTGAACGATCCACTTCAAAACGTCAAATAGACCTACCCTTTTGAACTCGAACAAATTGTCGCTGCTGAAGATCGGCTCCGGAGCGTTTCCGATGCGTTCCTGTTCCGAGGGATCGTCGTAGCGATCGTCCAGCTGCGAGTCGTTAACGGCGTTGTTCTGGTCCGGTTCGATGACCTGTATCAACTGGTCGTCACCGCTTTCGGTTGCCTTTGAGGGCGAATCCTCCAGCGAGGATGATTTATCTATACTGTCCTGCAGGGAGAACAAGAAACCACCAACAGTGGCTGGAGCTGACGGAGGTTCGATAGCTGCCGCCGGTTGGTGCGGTGATTGACCGAAGAAGTTGAAGAGATTCACCTGTGACAAAGTCTGCCCCGTGGTGGAGCTCGGATGCGTCGACGGTAGTTCGGTGTTGAAGAAGTCCGATGGATTAGCTAGGGTTTCCCTAGGTTTTGGCGATATCTGCACGTTGGCGAAGTTGGCGTTTAGATCGTTCGACGGCGAAGTGGCAGCTGACGAGAAGAACTGCCTAACGGCTGAAGATGGTTGCTGGGTTGCGATGGTTTCTTGCTGTTGGATCGGTACAGGATTGATTACGGCTGGATTTGCGTTGAAGTCCTGGGATGGTGGAGGAGCAGCAATTGGACTAAAGAACGTCGCAGGAGCCGTGGGGTCTAGAGTAGGGTTGAAGAATGAAACAGGCGCGGCTGTATTCGGTGCTTGTTGCTGCGGTTGAAGTGGAGGTTCAAGTGGTAGAACGGTCAGATCGAAGGGAGCTACAGGAGCTGACTGGGCAACTGGGTTGAATAGCTGCGTCGGTGGAACCGGTACAGTTGCCGGGTGCTGACTCGGAGGAGCAATAGAAGTCGCGATACTTGGAGGCACCGTGTACGCAGGTCTTTTGATATTCTGAAGATTGTACGGCTTGGAGCCGAAAGTTGCAGCAGTCGGAGGTGGAGGAAGCTCGACAGGAGCTGTCGGAATTTGCGCCGGATTGAAGAAACTTACGGGAGCTGACGGCAATGGGGCCTGGATGTCTAACGGTTGCTGCTGTTGCTGGTAGTATGCAAACGTAGGTTGCGTCGGATTTTGATACTGTGCTGCCGGTTGGAACAAACTAAGCGGCTGCTGACCGTCGCTGCTGAAGAGTGCCGGTTCGCTTAGGTTCGAATTGGGTCGTGGCGGCGGCGAGAGAACGTTTTCACTTGACTTCGAGCGACTGTCAAGAATGGTTTTAGCCTCGGATTGAGGATCTTCCTCGAACGGAGCGAAGAGGCTGGTTTTGCGATTCAGCGATTCACTCAGCGAGGACTGTGAACGGGAGCTGGTTGCTGGAGTAATCGGCAGCGAGGGTTCAACGGGGGTTGGGATTGGTTGAGAATTGAAGTACTGAACCGGAGGAGGCGGAACTTGTGCTTCGAAGGGGGGTGGTTGGAAGAAGGGGTTTGGAGCAGTTACCGTAGGAGGTTCTTGATTGGGAAGGAAAGTGGGGACCGTTGTGGGAGTTGTTGGAGATAGAGGATTCTTGTACAGACCGACGCTTCTACTCAGGTGGCTGGAGCTGTAGGGATTCTTCGACGGTTGGTGTTGAGGATGATTTGGAATGGATGGGAATTGGGCAGGTGTGAAGAACGTAGGCGGAGGTGGTAGGATAGTGGACTGCTCAGCCGGCGAAACTTGCGGATCAAAGGTCTGGAAGGGCACAATGGGGACTTCCGGTGGATTTGATTGGGGTTGTAGCAGAGGGGCCTCTGGAAGCGTAGACTGAACGGAGGGTGGTCCTCTGAAATAATTATTCGGATTGGAAACGATTTCCGGGGGTTGCTGTGATCCAGATGTGAAAGCCGGTTTCGGGATCTTTTCCAACAAGTTGGGAAGTTTTTCGAAGAATAAAAATCCCGGTTTTTGGGGCTGTTCACGGCTAGCCGGTTGACTCGCGATGGAGGAAATTACCTCCGGAAGAGGAGCAAACTGACTGAGGTCTTGGCTTTGCACGGGAGCTACCACTGTTGGCGGTGATCCTACCGTGCTAAGACCCGGAATATGGGCGTAGGTTTTCTTCTTTGCTCCACCAAGGCGGTAAGTATTGGATCCGACTGCTGTCGCTGGGGGGTAATGAGTGGGCCCGGGTTGACTGATCGCTTCCGGATTGAAGAATGTCGGCGGCGGAGGTGGAGGTCCCGGTTGTTGTTGTTGTTCTGCAAAACAATTCGGCTCCTGGACGAATCCTTGTTGGGAGTAGTCGTACGCGGCAACCGGTGGCGCGAATGCGAGCTGATCAACAGGCGCTGATTGACTCGGAGGCGGTGGCTGCTGAGGACCTGGCGACGAACCCTTGATCACTCGACTGAACGTAGAGAATACAGTGGAGGCTACGTTTGGCAGTTGTGCTGCGAATTGTGCAGTTAGGGCAGACGTCTGCTGCAGGTACGAATTCGGTTCTCTCGATTCCGATTCTTCCAGATCCTGCAGGGGATTGTACTCGACGGTCGACGGTGGCGCGTTGTTCACCGAATCTGCTGTCGAGTGCAGATCGATTTCGCTGAAGCTGTCCGGATCCTGAAGCTCGGGATGTGCTCCACCGAGCTGCTGCTGGCTGAAGACTATTGGCTTCTTGATGTCTGAAAATGGAAACAGAGAAAAACAAACGGAACAAGGTAAATAATCGAGTGTGTGTATGTGTGTGTGTGGTGTAACGTTACGGGCACAACGAGTTATGAATATATGATTTTAATGCTAATTCATTCCGCGAAGGTGTCCTTTGATGGTCACTTAAAGAACCATTGCACGGTGGACGTGTTTGAACGCGCGCTAGGTGGTGGTACCTACATAGAACTATTTTCGTCGCAACAACTCATGCTCTGCTCATTTGCATGCCAAAAACGTGCGGAACGGTGTGTAATTTAATGGGTCGTAACTGAAATAAAGGATGCGCAGTAGTACCAAGCGAAATGGGTTTTAGAAGCACAACAATGTTGTCGTCAAGTGGTGGAGGTAGAGAGCAGTTGGAAGAGGTGGTTCTGATTTCGAGACCACCGCGATTTCAATCAACAACTAATTTGATCAAAACACGTCTTCTCGAATAGCGATCTAATCTTTCCGATTGCATACTGTCACGTTTCGGTGTTTGATTGCGTACCGTACGACTGACGTCTCAAATCAAATGCAGGGAACTAGTCAGACCAGAGTAGCATCAACGGCAGCATCATTTACATTAAATCAATGACTTGTATCAATGCCAGAAATTTATACCTAAAGGTAGAGTGTCGGGGTAGAGCGGACTGCTAAAAAATTCGTCGATTGATATGCAAGGCGTCGTCGCATCGATATGCATGGTGTTTATGACCGATTCCGTCGAAATATGACAGGTATGGGTTCATCACTTGATTTAATATGTCCGGAGCTCAACAAAGTAGGGATCCTTGACAGCATTCAACAAAGGTAGGGTTTGAAGTGGATAAAGTGCGATGACCTAGCTGGGAATTGTTGGTGTGAATACAGAGGGCGGTGGGCAATCGTTGTTGAAAAAGTTCAACTCACTACCTTAGTTCTGATGTGTGTGTGTGATTTATAGTCACTCATCCATTGTACGACATTTGCGACTTGTCCGAGGAAGAGGTTTGAACTCGTGACCATTATCTGTGCTAGGGAAACTGACTTCGAAGATCGACCTAAAAAAACGACATTCCTCCGGTCATTCGTCAATATTGGTACTTGAAATTGATGTCTTTGTTAGAGAAGCTATACTAAGGAGTCGAGTCAGTTCTACGCCAAATAGCGAAAAAACAAATGAATTTTCGAATCGACCTTCTGCGATTTGTATGAAACTATGTGCAATTGTTTGTTATGGGCAATGATTCACATTTATGCTAAAATTCGGCCATTTTGGATCTTGTAAAATTTTCAAAATGGCATTCTTGTCATTTTTCAATAAATTGTAGTACGGAAACGGCATTTCTGATCGAAATGGCGTCTGAGACAAAGTTCTAGAGAAAAATAATGCCTTTCTGGGGAAAATCAACAAAAAATGTTTTTGTTTATTTTAAGTAAAATTAAAAAAAAAATCAAAAACTCAATAACTCAAAATCAGTGCTGCAAAATCTCGACAGTACACGGTGATATTGACAATTCTGCTTTGGTCACTCATTGGAGCTAACAGTCATAGTCAAGGCAAACCATGTCAATTGTCAATGACAATGCTGTCAGTGACGAACATGTGCAGATTTATTTATTAGCCAAATTTGTAACGAAATTAAATTACTTGAGCAAAACAATTACATGGATCCATTTTAGTGAACAAGTATCTTCGTCCTGAGCTACTTGGATAACAATAATGTGACACATAATGTACTAAATTACACTTTTTGTTACCAGGTGAATCTTTGTCATTGACGAAAAAATGAATGAGATTTTGACGAAGGTTTTTTTGAGGATCAAGTCTGTCAGTGACTATGTGACGAACAATTTAGTCAATATCGCGCGAAAGTCTGTCAGTGACAATGACAAATCTCAGCACTGCTCAAAATGTCCTAGCCCGATTTTTTAATTTATTAAAAAAAAATATGAAAAATACCACTGCTGTCATAGTAAATTTAGAGCTACACTCCCGATCATAAGTTCAAGGACACCCCCAAAAAAACATGACAAATTTGTTATGTTCATATCTCTGTCATGTTACGTCCAATGTTCGTTCTCTTTAGATCATTTGAAAGGTATTGCATGGAACTTTCCTCGTAGGCAAATTGTTCAATATAATTTTCAAATTTTGTGTGCTAAAAGTTCATTCAAAGTTACAATATTTTTCAAAATTTACTCTGAAGAATCGTGACTGATTTTCTCAGAATTGGGTTGGCCAAATTTTGAAATAAAAGTAGTAGTAGAACACTTATGCTATACCAGGGCTGGTAGTGCTGATGCGATATAATAGTAGTGACTTTAGTAACTTAAATTACGGAAATAGTGACCAAATAGTGACTTGAAAATACTAAATAAGTAACCATTTATATGGTAACTTAGAAATTCAAATACGGTTTGATAATGAAATAAACTTTGTACGCCATGGAACTTAAAATCAAATTTCATAAATTCCTCTAATTCAATCGAATATCACAACGGAATCTCATGTGTAGAGCATTTGAAGTGATTTGAATAATTTACTTTTGCTTACGTTATACATGATGATTAGCAAATAGTAATTTCCATTTTTTATGATCTTGAATTTGATTCTGCGATTCTTTAAAATTTTGGTATATCTAGGTAGACAATGTTGATAATTCGCTAAGAACTTTTCACAGAATTTCTTCATATTGATCTCAAGAACTTTTTTAGAATAATTCCCCTTCTCTTAAACTTTGAGACAAATAAGCTTATACAAAAATAATATTGCATTTTTGAAATTCTTTGCAGAATAATCAACAAAATTCTTGGTAATAGATTATTTTCGTAGTTGGAAATGCTTAACATTAAATATCAGGATTAAAGTGGACATTTTATAAGATAAGAGTTGATAGTTCCGTTATAGTGTGAAATTTGTATATAGAAAGTAGAAAGCGAACAAAGGACAATTTTGAGGAAGGTACAAATCGCATTTCCTTTACCAAGCTCATCCGTTAATGAGGGATGGTGAGAGGTGTTTCCCCCTGCCACCGGCAAAAGGGATGATCGCCGATTTGCTTATGTACCTCCAATGTTCTATCGATTGTTTCACACTCAAGTCCCATCTTACGTAAACAACTAGGGGAATTTACGTATTCTCGGCAACCTAAGCAGCGACCTTCTTTCTATAGCCTTTTTTCTCTATGGAACGCACACATATGCAGTATTGGTTTGTTTACAATCTTTTGCTGCCAGCTGCTCTAACAATTTCAGTCGAAAGAATTGTCAAAAACTGTTTTGAAACGCTTTTACAAAGCTCCAATCTTCTCTAGTGAGAGCGAGTATTGTCGGCAACCAGTTTTTCTTCGGCAACCGTTCCATTTGAACTGCATGTAAATCTGCTGTTCTATTATCGGCAACTCGAAATCAGCTACAATTTGAAGTGCGTGTGTTGCATTTCAAGAAAACCTTGCTAGATTGCTTTTTCTCAGTGGTAAAAATATAGTCAAATTGAAGCTGAAAGTATAAAGAATCGTTTGCATGCATTCAGCGAAGTGTTTTCGTAAGAAAATCCAGTGAAAATAGTGTTTCAATTTGGGTTGCCGAAAATAGTCTGTCATGCCGAAGCCGTCATTTCCCCTACCTGATTCGTACCTTCCTCAAAATTGTCCTTTGATGGCTTTCTTCGTTTATACAATTTTCACACTGCCGTACTATAACGGAACTATCAACTCTATAATTTAATATCCTCATCTATCGTATAAAATCTCCACTTTAAGTCTGATATTTTACGTTAAGCATGTCCGACTATGTAAATCGTTAAATTAACGCATGAAGTAATAACGCATGATTAGTGAAAGTAGATTATTTTCGATTTTTTATTGATTCTTCTAGGAAGATATATGGAAGGCTCCTTCCATATATCATTTTAAATTTATTTGAATTCTCCTTAGAATTACCATGCAATTAACCTAAAAAATTTCATAAGTTCCTGTTTAGAATAATCTTGGACTTCCCCCTGCATTCAATTGGAAATTCATTTCGTATTCTCCTCAGAATTCCCATAGTATTTCCCCAGTATTATAACTTTGAAACTCTTCTCAGAATTTCTTTGAGATTGAACCCTCAAATTTCGATTCTATTGGAATTCTTCTCGGAATTTATTTCGAACTCTTTAGAATTCTCATGGAAGTATCTTCAGAAATCACCCCAGAATTCTTTTAGAACTATCCACAGAGCCCATCTTTGGAGTTCACGGGATTTTCATCAGTGCTCCCTCAAGCAAAATTTCAGAACTAATTTTGAATTCTTATTAGAATTTGACCTAGAATCCCCAACCAATCATCACAGAACTCCATATACCAATTCAAATTCAAATAACCTTTGGAGATCGAAAAATGAACGTAAAATGAGAGATCATTGACCAAAACATATTTGCATGGTTTTTTGGGGGTGTCCTTAAACTTATGATCGGTAGTGTAGTTACTCACTTATTTTTTATGAGCGCTCACGTCCGCCTCAAATCCATGCCCTCCCTTTAAGAAGAACCCATAATTGTGTGTAATTTGAGAATGTACACAAAATTCAATTCCCTCTAAAAGATTCCTCCCCACAAATTACTAATTCTTCAATATATAGACTGTTCCAGAAAGTATAAGCACACTTTCAAAATAACAAAAAAGTCATGTTTTTTTAAGTTTTAATAATTTTATTTGGCAAATCATATTTGTATTTGTATTTCAAATGATATTTTACTCTCGTTTAATCAACATATTTAATCATAGCCAAGACTCCTTACTTTTCCTCGAACATGACCCATTAGCTTCTGCACAGTGATACTTCCCACCATTTTGACCACTTTTGGCCAATCTTTTTTTGAATTTTTGGATGTCGTCCGCTGGTTTTATTAATTTTCGAAGCTTTGCTTTGGTTAAAGCCCAAAAAGTCTCGATTGGCCGTGCCTCCGGGCAGTTCGGTGGATTCATGTCTTTCGGCACGAAACATACATCTTGACTTTTGTACCATT